TTCGATGGATGCTGGTCAGGGCTTTACGGCACTCTTTTTGATCGTGTTATTCAAAGGTGAGGCCTGGGTTTGGGACATTTTCATTGGCGGTGTCGAAGTAGACGCGATGCGGCCGGAACAAGTTGCCGGGTTTGAGGTCCATGTGCATGTAGAGTTCCGATCTGTCTGCCCCTCGCACCTTTAAAGCCCGGGACATATACATGTAAGGCACGTGCCGAGGTTCCGAAACAAGTTCGGGGCCATGTGCGCAGACTCCTTGTCCTGGGTGGGTGGAGGGTGGCAGATCAGATGCACAACGTATCTGGTAGCAGGTGCACATGGCGTCGTAGGCAGAACCCTCTTCTCTCCATACGACTATCGAACACAACCTGCAGTGTTCCAGGCGTCGTTGCAGCAGCTGAATCCCCTGACACCCATTGCCCTACACCATTGGAAGAAACCTTACAATAGTGTTCCGAGTGTCTTTGCGATTTCGAGGAAAGAGAGGACTGAGCGGATTTTGCCTCAGCCATGGAGGCATCGCGAGGATCGGGGATTTAACGGTCGGGGTCTAGTATCGGGGGTAGCACTGCTAGGCGGGGGCATATTCTGAACAAGAGCACATGCTCTCTTGGTTCGATTACTCTTCTAGGGCTGTGCAAAACGGACTCAAGCTGCGACAGCAGGTGCTATGATGCGGATGTCACGGAGATTTTTTGGAATCGAAAGGGTTTGGGAAAGGGGATAGCTGCACCAAGCCCAAATTTGCCGAAGGCCCAACAGCTTGAGGGCAGAGCATGAGCGGCTACCGCAAGCGACTTTCTGAGGCTGCATACAAGAAGGCTCCATGATCTTCAGTGCTTTATCTACACAATCAACAAACACCCTGGCTTCTTGCTATTGTCGAAGGATATGCTTACTATGCTGGGCCTCAGCGACAGTGTTTTGAAGTCATGGGAGGATTCTACAGGAAGAGCGAACCACAAAGCTAAAACCGACAGAAACAAACCCAAACCTAATCCTAGCGCCCAAGCCGGACATACAGACCTGCGATCACAACCAGTACAGGGGTCGTGCTCAAGAACTTGGTGTCAAGTCGTCATTTAAAGAACCAAGAAAGCGTGCCACTTGTTGCATCACTTATTTGGTATAACCCTAAACCCTAAACCTATAACAAAGTTACATTGAGTTGCCACAAGCACCCCATGACTCGACTCGACAGGAAAAAGCTCTGGGTTCTTCAGATTGACACACCATCTTTTTGGGTATCGGTAATGAGGACCCTATAGGATGCCATGGATTCGGAAACTGCCGCATGGCAAGAGCTAGTAAGGGCTTAGGCGTAGTTAGGTTGTAGGGGTTAGGGGTTGTCGTTTGTGACTGGCTTAGGATTTGCGATTTGTTGCAATGTCTCCGACCATGCTCTTTTCCATTCGTAGACTACACACAGTCATGAAGCCACAAAGTGTTTATAGCTGGCTATTCAAGCACACAAACCCTAGTCAACACCAGAACCGAGTCCCAAAGCCTATAACCCAGCTGATCCAAGACCGTAAACCCTAAATCCAACATGGTGAAAGATATAATGGGTTAAGATAAGGTCCTAAGCCCTACTGTATAAGGCAAGCTTCCAATAGCGAAGGCTCCGCCGGGAGGAAGACATGCGGAGCAGGCACTCCGGCGAGCAATATTTCCTGGTTTTAGCTTGGGTGCTTGAGGCTTTTAAGGCTTGGGAATGTAACCTCCCTTGTTGAAAGCTGAGGGCGTTTACAGAGTTTGAAGGAATTCCTGTCAGGGTCTCGGCTTTTTCTGAATTCCTGGGCTCCGAGAGCAATAAAGGGATTCACGACATTGCTCTTCTCTTCTGAATGTAGGACGCAGGAAGTGCTCCTACTGTAACCTTACCGTCAAAGGAGTCGTCAGGAACCCCGTAAGGGAACCCTTATACTGACTTATACTTTTGGGAACTCTTCAGGATCCCTGTAGCCCTATAGGCCATAACCCTGCCTTTCAGCACTCTCGGCTAGGCCACGTAGGGTCCGACTATCTAATGTAGGAACCTGATTAAGAAACCCTGGGTTATTATGAATCCTCATATATTTGGGTTATAGGCCAGGGCTTCTTAATCAGGGTCCTACATTATGAAGCTTAGGGTTTCAGGTGTGGCTTGTACCTTTAGACTTCATGGCGTGAGTGTTGAACGCACGAGCTCTGCAGGTGCGAAAAGCCAACATTTACGCGCAGCTACGGCAATCAATGGAAAAGCCCGTAGAAAATGGACAGCGACTTAGTTGCAGCATAAGACATGTGTGAAACATGAACCATCGCAAAATCGTTCTGTCGCAATACGCACACATAATACGTGTGGAACTAAGTCGGTCGTCGCAGGCAATATACAGAATTTCAAGCACGTGAGCACGTGAACATGCGACAGACAGCGAAGCAAAGCATGGAGTTCACAGGCGTTTCTGGGCAGGTGCACGGCGCAACGGACAGCTCGCAAAAAAACAACGCAATACACACTACCCTGGGACTAACTGCCAGGCGTCTCCATGTCTTCGGCAGATAGCGCGCTAAACAAGAATGTATCCAGCTCTTCAAAGGTGAGATAGTTGGTCCCATGCAGGTCAATCCTGGCAGAGGCATGTTCAGGATGTGTCAAGCAACCAAAGCATATTGGCGTAATGTATACATAGTAAAACGAATTTCCAAGAGAGAAAGCCTTGCAAATTACCCCGAATGTGCTGCCGCAAGTCCCCTCATCCTAAGCCCGAAATCGTCACTCGCTTCTTTGCCATACTCTGCATCGATCGCCCTATGATCGGCACCATGCCCGACACAAGAGGGTATCTGAACATTCTCGCATGCCAAAGCCAAGGCTAGAGAAGAATCATCATCGCTGCCGTTCCACGCAGTTTCCGCGGCTTGCAAGGGGGAGACTCGCATTAACTCCTGCACTTGTCAGGCGTTTTGGGATTCCGATTCAGCCAGAGTCTCCCGAGTCTCCTTGTGCGACCCTATACACAAGATTCTCATGCTATGCCATAATTTTTTCATGACCCAGAACTCGATTGTAAGGCAGAAAGCGGCAAATCTTTCACCCGGGGAGCCTCCTCTGATTTACCCCGTTTTGAAGCTTGGAATCCTGAAGACGGCCATTGAGTCCCGGGGCACAAGAACGGTGATGTGATCTCCGTTCCGATGCTCGGGTTATAGTAACCGCAAGACGGATAATAGCTAACCAGCTACATAAACAAAATCAAACCTGCACTTCTGTCAATCGGAGGGGCCTGGAGAACGCCCTTCTCACCTCCTCTGTGCTTAAGGCTCCTTGAAAAATGCCCGCCAGCTCTTCGTAACTGACCTCCGGTGGCATGGTTTAGGGTTTAATGTAGGGGCCTTAATGGTTAGAATCTAAAATAGGTGTTTTTTTTTGGGGGGGGGTTCCTTTTTTGTAATTATTATAGCTTTAAAATACCACGTAACCCTCTTCTAAGTATTAAAGCCCCTATATTAGGTTTTAGGGGTGGTGTCGGGCTTGGGGAGGCTCGAGCTTGAGGAGGAGTTTTTCGCGAGGGGACTGTGGAGTCCACAACGGCTTCAGGATGCTTCAGGATTTGGTGTGATGTAGGGGCCTTAATAAGTAGAATAGGGTTTGGGGTAGTATACTATAAAAAAATAAGGAACCCCTAATTAAGGCCCCTGGTTGCTGTGGCTTGCATTTTGAGAGTCTCCTATGCAGGTTTGTTGGCCAACATAGTCGCATATAGGCTTGAACATGTAGCTTGAACTCCACACCCTAAGCCACATCTGACTCAACTTAGACGTTTTCTAGTCGGGTGTTCAAGCGATGCTAGCTCACTCCTTTTCAGCCCAAGACCCCCTTCAGGTCTACGTCCAAGGGCTCCATACGGACAGCGGAACATGCCGTAGGCAAGCCGGGTTGCACAGAGAAAAGCCCTGAAATCGATGCGCAGAATTCGCTTTCGGATCAGCTAAAACCTACGCTCCCAGACCCTGGTTCATGACAGCCCTGCATGCCTGAACCCTTTCCAACCAGTCTGCAATCATAATGTCCTGCGCCGCGCCAGTTGCCAAGGATGAGACGCACTGAACACAAAAACAAATCCCGATGACAGTGGTACTGTGGATGGAGGAAACCCTGCACTGCTTTTAAGGTACGTCAAGTAGCTTCGCCTCGCGCCCGCTGCATAACATTGTTATGAAAAAGGGGCTTGGCAAAATCGTTCCGATGACGTATAAATCTTGCACCGCCCCGCTCAGGTCAGTCTTCAAAATTCAAAGGGCGTGCGGGGTCGTTGCTTGGAGGCGTACCCGAATTCGAATATGTAAGTGGTGCAAAATTTCCTCCATCCACCGTAGTACCAAACACATGCAATCACATCAAATACACACAGCACGCACACGCGCACATAAATATGAACATATACACACCAAAATACCTAGCTACCTGCCTACCTACCTACCTACCTCTACCCTACCTGCCTCTATATACCCACCTGCCCACATACCTATACCCATGTACCCAACCTCCTGACCGACGGACAGACAGACCCATCGATGTGCGTAAGTATATATGTATACATACAGACAGACAAACAGACAGAGACGCGCACGCGCGCGCACACACACACACACACTCAATTCATGATCGGGTCCCTTTCCGGAGCAATCGAACCCTCAACATCCCCGAACAATTGATGCTTGAACTATGAACCCTCATCCGTTTCTTACTACTAAACCCTGAACAGCAACTCTGAACCCCTAACCACACGCACTTGCACCCGCCTTCTGGTCGTGATTTTTGTCCATTTGGTCGAAGAGACGCTTCAGCGTTTGATGAAGCGCTTTCTTGTCCAAGGAGGACCAGTCGAACGTGACCTGACTCAGAGCAGGCACTCTGGCTTTCGGATTTGAGCTTCGGGCTTACGTCTTTCTTGCAGGCATCATGCCGCTTGCGAGGGCGCAAGCTGCAAAGTCGCAACAAAAAAACCCTTCGTCTACCCACATTGCGTATCTTTGTACGGATAGCCCCCAAAAAAGCCACACGCGCCGCTCATGCTATGCTCCATATACAGCACTGTTGCAGCACGACAGCCGCCTGCATTCCACTGACACTCGAAGTTCCAGCAGCAAAGGTCTACCATGCCAAGAATGCGCGCAAAGAATGTGAGAGTGCAGTCGGTACCTTCGCCACCCACATAACACTGTGAGATCGGGAATTTGGCGATGGCATTCTGCACAGTGTCGGTGACTTCCTGAAAGGCTGGCCCTGTCAGCGAGGGCAAACTGTGGGAAACGCGCTGTTGGAACTCCTGATCTGCTTCAGCTGCTCTGCTACTGAATCCCCAGCGATCAAGGATCGACACATACATGCTGGTCCCCTGCAGCTGCGTGATGCTGGCCTTCATCATGTAGCTTAGCATCCGCAAGGCCGGCACAGCATCACAGCCAGATTTCCCCAGAGCAGGTTAAGCACTGTTGTTACAGTAGTGATTGTAGTTGCTGGTCTTGGACTTCTTCAGCATCGAAGCGGTCTGCTCGATGAGAGGAAGCTTCGTCGAGTGACTTAGCGGATCCTCTGCGCCGACCAGATAAGCAGGAATGGTTGCAAGATTGAGCTCCAGCTCGTTCACCACCTCGTTCTCGCCACACATTGTCATCGCGGCAAAACTCGAAGAGGGAGCCATTGCCTTTGGCCAAGCCTGCCTCACTCTGCAGGCAGGCGGCGAAGTCCATATGTTTTTGAGTGACGTACTCGTAAGCCGTCTCCAGGGGAGCCATTTCGAGATCCTTGATCAGCTGAGCTTTTTCTTGGCCAATGAAGTCAAGGGTGGCGTCAATCTTTGTGAGGTGACCGTTCACAGCATTCGCCGGATCGGCCGCAACTTCGATCTGTCCCAACTGCTTTCATTCACGCTTCCGAGGATACTTTTGAGGTTCGAGCTGTCGGATGCCTTGCCTGCAATTGGGTCGTAGATGGACTCAAAGACCTTAGAGCCCAGGTTGCCGAGAGCCCCATTGACAAAACCTGTGAAAATCCCGCCAGGGACACTCCACAAGCCTCCGCTGGCAGGACTGCCAACGGCAGGCTCTGTAGCATCTGCAAGCATGCCGGCCTGAACAAGCCTCCGCTTGCGCGATGCCTGCATCGACTGTTGTTTTACTTGTTTTTCAACCGTCGGAAGACTGCCTTGGGGGCGGCTGTGCCAGGAAAAGGTCGGCTCCAGCTGGAAAGCCACGGCCAAACCATTTGGACATGGATCTGTGGCAGTCTTCACAGCCCAGCTCCAGCAACAAGCCAAAGCAAAACGCAACCGAAGCAGGTTGGCAGGGGCTTCGGAACCAGGCTTGAGCAATTTGGCCACTGGCTTCAGGATGCTGAGTCCGTGCACGGAGGGCTACATCGCATACACCGAACTCAAACCTAGAACGTGACAGGTTTCAGGTCACGCTTCTCATGCTATGCTGCCGGGAGACCGCCACAAACTCTGGAAAATTGAGGCTGCCGTCGTCGTCGATGTCCGCGATCTCGAACAAAGTGTCAGCCACGACGCCTCGGTTCTCTAAGGTCAGATGAGCGGGAAACATTTTAGATCCCGAACTACTAAACCTAAAACATAAACACACAAAACCATAGTAGAGAGCGTTGCAGCAGAAACACTAGGTGAGTAGGAGTTGAACAGTAAGAATAAGACTAGCAGCAGCAGTAGGACTAACAGTAGGAGAGCCCGCAGGAATGATAGTCGTCGTTGTAGAGGTAGTAGAAGAAGTAGTAGTAGTAGTAGTGTAGTAGTGTAGTAGTAGTAGTAGTAGTAGTAGTAGTACTAGTACTAGTAGTAGTAGTAGTAGTAGTAGCAGCAGCAGCAGCAGCAGTAGTCGTCGTGGTAGTCGTGGTAATGTAGTGATAGTAGCATAAAAAGCAGCAGCAGCAGCAGCACTAGCAGTAGGAGTAGGATCAGCAGTAATTGGGTGGTGGTGGTGGTGGTGGTGGAGTGGGGGTGGGGGTGGGGGGTCAGGGTGGGGGCGGTCGGGGTATTCCTGGTGGAAGTGGTAGCAGTGGTGATAGTAGTGGTAGGAGGAGGCGGAGGAGTAGGAGGAGGACGACAAGTAGGAGTAGCAGGCAGAAGTAGGAATAGCAGCACAGCATGGAAGAACAACAAGTCAAGGCACTGACACTCGTCTGCCGGCGTCCCATGCGAGAGGCCTGTGAGCATGGACACCATTGGCCTGACTGCAAACAAGGCTTCACTCAAGTGCTACTGTAGCAGAATGTGGACGAAGCTATAATATGTTAGATGCAGTACGCCAACGCACAATTCAAAGCTTCTGAGCGGGACAACGCGGAGGGGCTCCCTTGCAGTGCTTGCAGGAAATACCCGGGTTTCGGGGCTTCAGGCTTTCCTGCTCGAGACGACATGGGCGTCACCGGCGGGGATCTTTACATTCTTAAACCGGAACAAACGAAACAGGTCCCCTGCACTTCAGGTCCTCTGAAATGTCTTCAGTGGTTCCTGCCAACTCTCGGCCGGTGGTAGACCCAACTTGGAAAGCCCGGTCACCTCTGCGCCCTGCCAGGACTAGACTGCACCGAAAAAATGCGACGAAACCTGGAACCCAAAGCACACACGCTCAGACCCTTTACATGCCAAAGCCAAATTCGCAGAGGCAGAGGCATAATGCTATCTCTCTCCCACTTTCCTCTGTATCTATCTCTCGTGTCTAGTCCTCCACACTGTAAACCCCTTTCTCTGCCGTGCCATCCTCGACCCTTGTATCCACGCCTGAACCCTCAAACAAGAAACTCTTAATCGCCCTATCTCTAAACCGTAGTACCCCTCTTGTTATACCACTTTTCTGTGCCGGCCCCAGATCCCTAAACCAGTAGCAAACTAAGGAGATCGCTTGCAAGTTTTGCCCAGCGGCTGTCGAGCTGAATGCACGCCGCGCGGAATTCCTCTAGGGAGATGCTACCATTGTTGTCCTAAGCGCCACAAGGCAGATGCTAAAAACACCAGGGGTTAATTCCTTCGGATTGGTTTTTTTCGCTTCAGGGCTTGGGATTGAGGGTTCAGTTGGTGAGGTGTAGGATTTGGGGTTTGGTAGTCATCGGGGTCGTAACGGGAACGAGGGCAGCAGAAACAGGAACCGCACCGGGAGCGTAACAGGAACTGTCCCAGGAAAGCCAAGCAACCGAAACAATGCTGGAACTCCTGTGTGGGGGACATGTGCTACGCTGCTACGACAGGACATCTTGAAGCCGTATCAGTGGGGGACCGGAAAGCGGCCTGAGTTGGCGAGCCACAAAAGCAGGTGGATGTGAAACAATCCATTCGTGGAGCCCCGCACCCCTGCCTGCTACGAGTTCAGGTTACGGACATCCCGTTCCCGTTACGGCAAACATTGTAAGGGTTGACTTGAAGATTTGGAGCTTAAGGTTCGGGGCCGGGGTATGCGTTTGGATGTCTTAACCTTTTCATAGTTTTGAGCAGTGAAAGGGGTTGAGGATTTTACGACCTGGCTGACAGCATGCTGCTGCAGGGGACGGAGGTCAGCAAGAATGTGCACACCTCCTGTTGTGATGCGAGAGTGTGTCCATGACAAGCGAAGGTCAGTAGAAACAGCAGACTTGAGCTGAGAAAACTTCTGCAACCTATACATATGCCAAAATAATGTGCATCCGAAGCCCAAGCTCCTGATTTCCTATATCTGCGGGAAAGGTGAAGACTCAAATCTCCGAAACTGTTGGGAATTGATGTGATAGCGCTGTCGATGCTACTACTACTTGTGAATGCCTTTCGGTATCAAGTCATGCAGCGTTGAAAGTGCTGAACATTACGTATAAGTTTCAATACGGTGCTATGTTTGACATCAATTCAGCCCAGATGCAGCATCCACTTTCTGGAACACCTGCAGCTGTGTGCTCCGATGGGGGCGTGAAATCATCACAACCATTGTCTTCAACGGTTGTCATCGTCATCGGCGTGCTTGGGGCTTGCATCAGCACCTCCATCTCATCATCATCATCAGCATCATCATCATCAGCAGCAAATGCAGCAACGGCAACAATAAAACATTGACATCATGCTTAATTACAGCAAGGAAGCATGATTGCCAAAACCAAAGAAGCACAGATAGACTCTTCGGCATACTGCCTCGACATATTGCGCAGCAGCCAAGTGAAAGAGAAGTATAAGCCAGAAAATCCATGACAAAGCCCCATTCCAATATCCGAAATCTCAAAGCACCAAGCTTGGGTCAGGGAGAACCGTTTCTTGCTAACACCGAGGACGGATGCCTTCCAACTTTCAGCGTAGTGGTCACGCTGAAGCTTGGTGGCCAGTGCGTTCAGCAGGATCATGTGAGCCATGCCCTGGAAATTGGAAGGTTTAGGCGTCATGCTCTCCCAACTCGGAGAAGCCAGACGAGGTCTCTCGGCTCGCAGTCGGAATACAGGAGACTCTACGTACTTCTCAAGCGACTCATGTCAAGCAGTCAGAGCAATGCGAATCACGGCCAGTCATCAACAAACGAGTTCAACATGAGTGTCAGGGCGGACATTGCTGCCTAACCTCAAAGCACCAGGAGATCGTCTGAAAGCAGACAGACAGGAGGAGCTCTGTGAAATCTCAACCTCTAAATCACATTGCTTCGACGGCCCCACTACATGTGGAAGCACGCGACTCCTGCAAATCACTCCGCGGGCGCTAAGTCTACATCAGGAGAAACGGAGGGATACTCGGGGTGATTCCATCAGCCGACCTACTTAGAGGTTTAGTGCTTCAAGCTTTGGGGTTGGCGTTACAGTCTTTGAGGTCTTGATCAGAACCCTAAACCCTAAACCCCCCGCAAACCCTGAACCCTGAGCCCGATTGAAACGCAACTGCCACATATCCCCACGCAGCCGAAATCCCAATGCCAACTCCTGAACGACAAACCCCTAAACCCTAAACCCCTAAACCCTAAACCCTAAACCCTACGGGCCCGCAACCCTAAACCCTAAACTCCTAGCCCAAACCCCCCAAATTTAACCCTGAAACCCCTAAATCCCTAAACCGTTAAGCTCTGCATCCTGAACCCTTAAACTCTAGCCACACTCCTAAACCCCTAGACTCTAAACTTACAAAAACCTTAAAAACCCTTAAACCCTTAAATCCCTCAACTTTAGGCTCTACATCCGGAACCCCTAAACTCTAAAATTCAATTCTTCTAAACCCCTAGATCCCTAAACTTTAAGCTCTAAGCCCTGAACCCCTAGATCCCTAAAGTTTAGGCTCTAAGCCCTAAACCCCTAGATCCCTACAGTTGATATCCTGGAGAGGCCAGGCGGCCTTGCTCTTCTTGAATTCTAACCTGGGCTAGGGTTTATAGGGTTAGGGTTTAGGGTTCAGGGTTTTCGGGTTTGGGGTTAGCATGGTTGGGGTTTAGTGGTTTTTAGGGGTTACCTGGACCCTAAAGAACCTACCTAGGGTTCCTTATTATGAATTCTTGATATAAGCCCTTACAGAAAGGTAGGCTATGTGGGGGTTAAGGTAGGGTTTTTTTTCCCTCTCGCATGGCTAAGGATCTATGCCCACAAGCGAGGTAGAATGGTATACACGAAGACAGCTGTACTACGGATAGAGATCGGCCCTAAGCACTAGCCACTACTAGGAATAACCAAGGAAGCTTCGAGCCTTCAGATCTCTACCACAGGGTTTAGGGTTCAGGGTTTTCGGGTTCGGGGTTCGGATGGTTAGGGTTTTCGGGTTAGGGGTTTAGGGTTTCGGGGTCGGGTTTAGGATTTAGTGGTTAGTTTGATTTGTTTTACAGGCCTTTTTCGTCGCCTGCACTGGTTAGGGTTTGGGTACGAGGGTTTCGGGCTTCGCGTTCCTGTTTTGCCCGAAAGTCCAGGACTTCTGGGCCGAAGCCCCTTCGGATTTTTTTTCTTAGGGTCTTTTTTTTTTTTGGGGGGGGNNGGGTTTAGGGTTAGGGTCTAGGGTCTGGGGTTTTAAGCCTAAACCTTAAACCCTAGATTTGGAATCCAAAGCATCCTAAACCCGACATTTTTACATACACTTATGGTTTGCTCAGTCTTCATGTTTACAATAGCAATACTGTTGATTTCGATTTCAGTTACAACAACAATAACAGCAACGATGCTAAGAATAGAAAAATCATGATTGTGATAGCAGCAACCTTGTAACTTATAACCCAAGGCACAGATTGGGACTGTTCGGGTCTTTTGCTGCAAACATGGCTGTTGAACTCAAGGGCCTCCAAACCCTGCGCCGTGAACCCTTTTGCCTGGCATATTTCCAACTACACCAGTAGCAATGCATCAAAAGTCTTCAAGGTCTAAAGGTCTGCCGTGCCTCGTGCACCCTCTGAAGATGTAGAATTTAGGGTCTAGGGACAAGCTGCGAGGATAGTAGCAAACGATAGATGAAGCAGTGTTTCTACGAAGCTTGCATGATCCCCGCTTGCGCAACGTCTAGCTGCTACACAGTTGGCCCTTGATGTAGGCGTGCAGGCAGCCCTCAAGCTTGTACTACTCGGGGCAAGCCGCTTCGACAGAGCTTGCTTGCTGATCTTGCGGCCGTAGGTCGGACTCGTTTCAAACCAAGTGTCCTGCTCATGAAGGCGGCAAAAGAAACTGAACCTACAGTAGCCGCTGCCGCTTTGACAACAAACCGATATGTTCAAGGGGGGGTAGTTGGCTTGAGCCGTTGGGGGTTCTAAGTACAGAGGAACACAGAGGACTCCGCCAGTGTCCGCCCCAGGGCAGGTTGCCGGTCAATTTGTTTTTTGTCTCTCTCGCTCTCTCTCTCTCTCTCTCTCTCTCTCTCTCTCTCTCTCGCTCTGTCACCATGTTATCCCTATGTCCTAAACCCTTAACCCCTAAGCTTTACTTGGTGCTGATGGCTGGACCTAAACCAACCCTCAGCCCTAAACCCCCAGTATTTGCGGGGGCCTAGAAATCCCCTTCCGAAACCCCCGGCTGAAGCTTTGGGAAAGACCGCTTCACTGGCTTGGGCTTCGGCCGGTTGCCTTTGGGCTTAGGTTACCAATACTACTTTAGGGGCTCCTTACTGTAATTATCGTAGAGTACATCCCTACCCTCCCCAAACCCTTTTCTAATTATTCAGGCTAGGGGTCAGGGTCTTATAGGGTCTATGTAGGGGCTGAGGGTTTTGGGTCTTAGGTCCACGGTCTGGCCTCCTACTTCGCATGGACGAGCCCGCATGACGGGGTGGGCCCATGATTGAAACCGATCAGAGCGTAGAAACCTTCCCCGTTGCTAACTCTGTCCCTTTAAGCTAGACTTGAGAACCCTAAACTCTCTAAACCTTCCCCTTTGTCGTCCTTTTAAGCTAGACTTGAGAACCCTAAACTCTCTAATAGTCTAAACCCATCACACACGGCCCATGCATGGCAGGCAGCATCCTTCAGCACCTCGGCAGCAGTTGGCCTGCCGTCAGGCTCCTGTGCTGATGTCTCGGCTTTTGGAGACTCCGGCGTCCCCAAAACTACGGTCCACGGCTTATCTTTTGGGTCGCGATACACCCCAAGAAAATAACCAAGAGACTAAAGATTTGCAAATTATGCCGGGGCTCCTCGACAAAGAATCTTTAAGTAAGGGGTGTTGGAGTTCCTGGCAAGGTGTGTGGGCAGGGGCTGGGCTGGGCACAAGCTTGTATTGGCCATGGTCTTGCAGGGTTGAAGGTTCTCTGAGAAGACCAGAACTTCACAGGTACATAGTTCCAGGGAGTAAAGTGGCTTGGGATGGAGTATCTTGAGGCACAGCACGATCCCATGGCTTCAGAGGTCGTGGCATCGAATCTTTGGCCGTCGCCGTGACTGGTGCGGCGGAACAAGTTGGAAATGCAAGGGTTCTGCGGGTGGGGTTTCCGGTGTAGGGTTTGGGGGCTTGGGTTGCTCTGACCTCTGCCTTGGCTGTCGGAATAAGGCTTCTGCATTACAGTATCTTGCAACCGAAACGGGTATTTGGGAGTTAGGATTAGGGGGACCCTTGGGGATATAGACCCTCTCAATAAGGTCCCTTTTAAGAGAGCCACAAGGAGGGTTCAGAAGGGTCCCCTTTAAGGGGTCTCCCCAATACTACCAACTTGCTTGTTGAGAAACCGGATCAATCCAACACATGAGGCGTATGATCTCTGCGCCCACAACCTCTGGCTTCTCTTGACAGGGCTCGTGATACTTTCATGCGTCCAAGCACAACTTTCAACCAACGCGGGAAAGCTCTTACAGCCGAGGTTTCAGGCTGCCCCGGGCAACAACCACCCTTAGACAGACTTTATAAAGTTTGGAGGATTGCCCTCTGGGCCCAACGAACAGTTTTGCAGGGAGTCATGGCTGCTGAACGAAACATTTAGGTACGCTCTGCAATGGAAAGTGGAGTGCCGACCGATCCCCTTGCGATGTATGTGATATCAATCGCAAAGGTTCATTGGAGATATTACAATCCAAATCTTCGGGCTGCCCTGCAGCTAAAGCGCCTTGCGGAGCATCCGCATCAGCAAGTCTGCAGCGGACTCGGAAATGCCTCGCAGTGCACTCGCCCTAAACCCTAAACCCCTAAGCCCTTTTGCATCCAGGACTCTCGCAACCAGCCCTAAACCCCTAAACCCTTCTTTCTTTGGGATTGCGGATTGCAGGGACCTCGATCTTCTCAAAGTCTCCATCCGGGATTATAAGGGAAGTGGACACAGAAACCCCAAACCCAGAAGGCGTGGTCCCCCGTGCCACAAACCTTCGGCATTATAGTCATGTTACCATCATGTTATTGTAAAGTGTCGTGATATCACACTAAATTCTTTTTTGTGTAGGTTAAAGGACATTCGAGTATACTACGCGTCAGACGATCCCAGCGCCTTCCAGGTGTGGTTGAAGCTGCAACTCCTGACAAAGCCGAACGAAGCGAAGAGCGACTGTTCGAATGCCGGTGCCGATGCAGGTATGTCAGCCTAATAAGACGGACCTTCCACCGGAGCCCGCAGCAAAGTGGATGTTCGCGGCAGGAGTCACCAAAAAGCTGAAGCATTCGGAGCAGTTCGAGCGGAAGTCTCAAAGAAGAGTCGAAGAAAAGGACCATCATGAGAATCGTGCTAGGAAGGAGCCTAATAAAGCAATAGGACGGTTGAAAATATTAAGTACGTATCAAGACATCAGTTCGTGACAAATACCGCATTTATAGTCAGCGCACGGTGCGAGGTTGCATGCCCACCCTTTTCCCAGCCCTTGCCATCGGTTCAAAGGAAAACAAGCCTATCATCCAAACCTAATTCTTGGACTCGGCGGCCTTCAAAAATCTGCTTTCATGATGGCTGCTGGACATCTCTAGTAAAAGAACGTCCGAAAAGGACGTGATTAGAACATCTATCGATCTAGGGCTAAGCTCATGTCCCCATAAATAGAACACGAGCATCAGTCGTCTGTCAGCTGCAATCCTCTGAAGATTCGTTAACAAGCAACTGCACCGTGCACATGCGGTACCCCAGCAACGAACTCGTGCCTCAGAATACTTGTTTCTTCGGTTCGTGCCCTCTGCAGCCAAACAGAAAACGAGGCTGTCCTCTTCCAGCACACCCTTCTTCAGCTTCTCCCACTGATTGGGATAATGCGTGACGTCTTCCAGTCGAGCTGCTTCGTAAACGAAGGGGATGACGCCTCATGTCGACAGTACTGCAATGGTATGCTATTCATAGGCGAGCCACATTCTTACATCACACTTGCTACATGGGACGAGCATAACAGGCAAGTATGTGCAGGTAAGAATACATAAGGGACTCAAGGACTGTATGAATGTATGAAGACATGAGTGTCTGTATGCATTTCTGCATGTATGTATGTGTGTATGTATGTGTGTAATTACACATTTATTCCTTATCTCTCCATTTACACACAGGAGGAACTGTGACGTGAGGTGAGGCCAAGAACGCGGTCCGTGACAGATAAGGGACTCCCTAGGGCTAGGCTGTGACGTGGCGAAGTTCTTAGGCTCGGGGAGTTGTTGAGGGTTTAGGGGTTCAGGGATTTAGGGGCTTAGGGTGGAGGGTACAGGCCGAAGGCTTGGAACACTGATAGCCCTGAACCCGGAAGCCCCGCACCATGGGACAAAGAACATCTTGTTGGCTTCCATAAAGAAATAAAAGGAAATTCCTTCTGGAGAAGGAAATACCAACAACCATCGATTTCTATCGCAAAGACGTCAGACACCTGGCCTCCACTCAGAAGCTCAAAGAGTGTGACCTGAGTTTGCCATAGTAAAGTTGTACACAGGCCCCACTCCTACTATCCGAATATCCTAGAAACCTTGCCGTCATTCTGAACACTGAGGACGGCTCTTCTTGTGTTATTGCAGATCCCACGAGATCTCCTATGCTCTCACGCTGAAACCGCAGCGCCAAACGGTGCAAAACCTGGATGCCAAGCATCGGCCTCCAATCACTGAGACAAGGGCTGAACGAGAAACAGAAAAAGTTCCCTTGGGTTTTTTTGCCGCGTAACTTTGCAAGGAGGAGCCCAGTTCCTTCTGGGGGAGTCTTGGGGTCTCGTGCTTCGTAGCGCAGCTCAGCCGCCCCGAGGGACCATATGTCTGCCGGAAAGCTGATCTCACCTTGGGTCGATTTGGGGTGTCTTGTTGCAAACCAAGGCCTTTCCACTTTCTGAGGTCCTATCGTTCTGGCATACTCTCAGTGTTTGGGAGGCCAAAAAATTGCAATCTAGAGGAATCCCCTCCTGGATTTGTCAGTTTCCGACTTTGGTCAAGCCCCATGGTGAGTCGGTTGGCTCCACACAGATCGACAGGGCAAGCACAACGAAGAACACTGTCCACTGAAAACTCTGAATGACCCTGAACCCTTGGCACCAAAACTTGTGCACAGAGTCAGACAAACACAAGCAACTGGGACACCCTGGGTTCATGAACAGTGTGTATAAAGCGAGAAGAACGGCGTTGATAGGGTTTTCTAGGGTTTGTCTAAGGGGCCGAAAAATCAAAAGAAGAGTTCCGTAAAGGGTTCTTGAAGGATTGAATGAGGGTTATTGTAAGTGTTATGATCGGTTTTTTTTGCGTGCCTTTACAACGATCAGACCATGATGTGCTAGAGTTGTCGGGAGCACTGTTGACGACGACGACGCCTAGTACTACCAACTACTCGGCCCCCTACATTCGTGAATTGGAGCCATTTCTGCACCCGCCCCCCCCATGCAAAGATCGGTGCCAGAGGACCTCCATAACTCAAGATTGAAGGCAAGAAGCCAGCCAAGCCCAGTGTTGTGTGGCCTTTCAGCGAGGCAACGAGGGCCTCTCAGGCTGGCTTTGACTGCTGTGCGGCTTTGAGGGTTTAGGGTTTAGGGGACATAAGAGTCTGCAGGCTTCTAGGACAATTAAACCCTAAACCCTAAGCCTTTTATCTGTAGGGTTTTGACTGCAGTGAGTGTGGGACGCAAAGTTTGAGGATTCGAGGTGTACCTGGGACTGGCCATCGAGTCTGCGACGGGCTCCTTGATGATCTCATGGTGCGTGTAATTGGTTCAGGGTTTAGAGCTGGGCTTAGCGTGTGTTTTAGGGTTTAGGGTGTATTGAGCTAACCTGTTCGGCTATTAGTTGGAGCATGGTCGATGTCACAACGGCTTGAGCACTGGAAAACACATGAACCGCAAAGCTTATGCTCGGGCATTCCAACCTAAAGCCCTTTTTGAACCCAATTTGCTCCTATTTTAACCCTAAACCCTGAGCCCTCCTAAAAGCCAGGGGCGCTTTCATATCTCCAAAGCACTTGTGTGCGCCGCCGGTGGCTGGACAAGGAGCGCATGGTCTTTTGTAACACAGACCCTGGGCTTGTGAATGTCGTGCAGGTTGGATTTCCCGAATACCCTCGGAGGCTGTTAAACCCAAGGCCGCAAACCCAAAACTCTCAAACCCTACTATACTACTACATACCATAATTGAAACAGATTCTAATTATAGCATAATGGAACCAAACCCGCCTTGAATGTCTCTGGCGACTGGTATCTGGGATCGCCCGAGCAGAAATCTGTGTCAGCCTCGACCTGCTAGGTTCAGGGTTCAGGGATGTTTTGGTGCCTTGGGCCCCTTCTTCTTTACACCCTAAACCTTAAACCCTTTTTGGCAGCTAAGCTGCAAAACCCTAAACCCTAAACCCCCTAGAGGGGATTGAAGCTTAATGCTTGGGGTGCACTCTTAATCCCCCAGCTGGAGCAGTTGCAGTTGCAGCAAAAAAGTTAAGGCGACAGCGGTGCTGGGTCTCTTGCCTATCAGGCCCAGCGTCTAGTGTGTGGGGTCTAGTCCAGTGACCCTAAACCCTAAACCCCCAAACCCCAAACCCTAAACCCTAGTGGTCATAGTTTCACGTGTTTCTCCCTGTAACGCTTCCTCGATCCTTGAACTGCACAGATGCACCAAACCGCAGAGGGTCGAAACACTGAGCCGACACTGAGTCGAACCTACGGACACAGCCAAATTCCCAGAAGTGTTGCTATAATTCTTATCTGCCTCTGTGCGTGTCTATGGAGGGTTGGTATACAGTCTAGCGGCAATACACATGCATGCATATGTATGTGTAAAAAAATATATATATATATATACATATGTATACACGTACCAGTACGTACATACATTCACACATACACCCAAAATGTTGTGCTGGTGGCTTGCAGATCATGTTGCGTCGCTTTTGAATGCCACCCCAAAGTCTAAGCCCTGCCGAGTTTGGTCCGTCCTGCCCCGGGTTCAAGGGTCACGCAGCACAGCTTTAGGGTCTAGGGTTGACTTGCTTTGAAGTCTCTGATGTTTATCGGGAAGACGGCTGGAGAGTTCAGGGCTTTGGGGCTTTAGTCACTTTGAGTTTAGGGTAGTGACGGCCGATGAATCATAGTCGAGCCTAGAACACAAACACCCCAGCCCACCAGCCCCAAGAAACACAACACCTTATCTAGCATAACCCCAGGTCTCGCTGGGCCTTGGCGCACCCAAAATCTGTGATGGTGACCCAGGGGACTTGATCAGGATGTGCAGGATCAAACCTGGTGGGCGAGAGTATGCTTGCATGACTCGAGCTTTGCAGGTTCAGTCCAGTCCTATTGATGAAGATTTGAAATTTCAGTGCTAGGGCTACCAAGCCCCAGAAACTCATCAAGTATTAGGCAGCATGAGCAACTGTTTAAGCAAAGCCTAAATAGTTCTGAAGACATTTTTGCTAGTTGAACAGGGCACCAGTTTAAGGATTCGCCAAGGATCGACCCACAGCCGAAAGCGCAGCGAACCCAAGCACAGAGTCTGCAGTGGGATGGAAGCGATCAGGGGCTCTGAACTGCACCAAACTGCGCACGCTGCCCCCAGGGCATCCATGCTATAATTATCGCAGATTGAAAATGAGGCATGAAGCTGTTGTTTATGTTTAAGTGTAAGAATGAAACGGTGTACTAAATCCCATTGCGCCACTCTTTCATGCACAAGAGGTTCTCCGGCTTGAGGTCGTTGTGCACGATTCTCTCGCCTTGCGCTGCAAGGTCGGCTGCGAGAGCTTTTGTACGAGCCGCAAATCGAAGACCCTTACGAGTTCGAAAGGGGCAATCTAAACTCTGGGCTACTCTGGCAATAATGTTATCATAATAATGCTTATTCTTACAGAAAGGACTGTAAACTAACACAAAAACTCCACCTCACAACAGTCCCCTCTCTATTCTTATTCTCGCTCGCATTATTCTATTGCTACTACCTTTGGCTACCGATAGAGCCGGCATGCTAGTCTTGAAATCCACTGCATGCTCCAGTTGCGCTACGCTTTGCAGGCGCAATCGCCCTGCACACCCGCCATGGTAATTTTGTCACCCACATGGCACGACTGAGTCAGCACTGCGGGGCCACATGGTGGTAGTATCAGCATAGGGGAAAAAAACGGGTTGTGTCATCGGGAGGATAGGTAACATCCTTCAGATTGGTGCTCTGATTTAATTCCTATCATCAGAACTGACGCAAGCATTACGGTTACGGCTCTTCTTGATCTTAAGGAACTTAAGTGCTTGATGAACTGGACCCTTGCCCGGATGTAGCAAAAAAACGAGCTCTCACAGCGGCAGCTTCAGTAGCCTTGCTTCTTGTCGTGTTTGTGGCTTCAGCCTTGCCATTGTCGCTGTTATCGGTGTGAAAACATAATCATAGCAATGCTTCTCACCTCAGGCTCTCTGCGCGTGCAGCCTGTCAGCAGCTCTGGGCCGCAGACCCCAAATGGTGGGAAAAGCTCAGATAGAGATGCTACAACGTATCGGCTTCGGCATACTAAGCTGCATCTGCTGGAATCCGTGGGTACTCCTTAGCCCATCGAGGCCGTTATGGGTTTTCCGTAACTACTGCAGTGATCTAGGCTACGGAGAGAAAATCCCAACGATTTTGGACAACCCTTAAACGAATTCCTCAGCCCCTCAGTACCTCCATGGTGCGCTGCCGGGGGCCCGACTGTGAAGGTATGAGACTCCCAGCAAGACGTGGCGGAAAACCTGCGGAGAGCATAACAATGCAAATCCAGTTCAAACAACAGCAAACTTGGGGGGAATAGAGATGCTTGACTGCTTGCGAACAATATTTCTTATGCAACATCCCCCAAACCCCAATTTACCTGTTCAGGCCCCTCTAGCACTGCTGTGGACAACCCTCCAGCTTTACAGCTTCATGTCCACTTGCTGGATGTCAAAACTGGCAGCCTTCACTACCCGACACTTGGGAAAGTCGCAGCATATGGAGACCAACACATTGAACTATAAAGGTGCGCCGCAGAAAGCCCCAATCTGTCTCGAGCCGAAGCCTTTCGGGGTGCATACAGAGTAGTCAGGGTGCAGGATTTGTCGAATATGAGATTTTATACTCGTGCTGACATCACAGGATTTGAACTCCTACAGGTCCTTGGTTGCAGCTGGGCCGTCCTAAATCGTAAAACCCTAACCCAACGTAAAACCTAAACCCGAATAAGATCCAAGTGTCTTGTAGGAAAGGTCCGGGAACTGTGCTGCGTTGATGCTACACAGCCTGCCTGACCTTATGAACCCCAACATCCCCGGAGGTACAGCAGTCGCAGTCGCAGACGAATCCATTGCTTCATGTTGCTTTAAGTGTTGGAAGGTGCTTCGTCAAGTCTTTCATCCCTTCAGCCGACAGAATGTACTATAGTAACTATAGGGGCATGGATAAGTAGAACAGGGTGTTGGGGGAGATTGAAGCGTAATTATATGGTAGACTCCAAGGGGATACTCTTGCTGGTTGTTCCGGCCCCTGCATTCGAGGCTGTAAGGATCCTGACACAACTGGGATCTTCGCTTGTAGTTCACGGGTTTAGGGTTTACGGGGTGTAGGGCTTAGGGTTTAGAGGGTTTTGGGTTTAGGGTACTACTACACCAGCTGCAAAAATCCTGCACCGTTAACTGCGGCCATTGCGCCTGTGCGACCCATGCCTCCGTGACAGAGCTCGCGGCATCGTGCCGGATCCTTGGCGCAAAACGGCCCAAGGTAGAATATACTTTAAAACCTCTCACAATATACCTTTTGGTCTCAAGAGCTTCGACATACACTTCTGCGGAACTTCTGCGTGATGGGCATTAGGGCGGCAGTTTCGGGAGCTTACCACCTGGCGTAACAGAGATGCACAGCTGGAGAAGCCAAAACCCCCCGCACCATCATGCCCTAGGCACTGAAACCTTGCCGTCCATGGATACCGCGCCATAGGCTGTAGGGTATCTCCTAAACCCCACTGATAACGAGTCAACCTTGCGAAGGGGTGCAAGGTTTTACGGCTTCTGGCCCTGATCAAGCGCCCGAAACTCGAGAGGATGCGCCAAATCCCTCTCGAAAAATGGATCGACCTTTGAGGCTTCAAGGAGCTTCGATCAGGGCTCCAGCTCTTACAACTCGGAGATTCGCGTGTTGGGGCGGTCCAAGGCCTAGAATGGATCGTCTCTCATCCCGGTGAAGCCCAAGTGACATGCTCTGCATGTAGTTGAAGAGGTCTCCGCCCACCTGCAGCAGACGCCCGCAGGAGGAGGCATGCAAGTGCGGTGCTTTCGGAAAGCCGTAGCCGAACATAGTGGTCCGAATAAGGTGAATCTGAACTTGAGCGTTACTTGGGTTTATAGGTTTGTGGGCCCGAATCTGAGATCTTACACCCGAGATTCACTGAGGAGTGAGGCATGGGCTTACGCGCCACGGCGCCGAACCAACGATCAGTTCAGACGTTGGCTTGTCCTTGGCCTTCTGTGCCCTGACCTGTGTTGATGCTGGCGGTTAGGGCGGTGTTCCGTCCTCGTTATGACCGAAGTCGCCGGAGGCTGTCGTCGAGACTGTAGACTACATGCGAACACGTACTCGCCCCCCTAGCTTCCCATCCCAGCCCAAGAAATTTCAAACTGGGTTCCCGGGCTGCATGCTCGTAAACGACGTAGAGGCACTCCTTCCGTTTGCCAACACTTCCGGCTTGTGAATGCAGGGCCAGGACGCTAATTCGGGCTGCCCTGCCGCGGTTGCAATTTCTGGAAAGAACTTAGGTTTGCAATGCCACTGAAGATCTCCCTGTCTACATCTACAAGTCAAGACTAAGAGGGTGCGTGAAAATCTCCCACCCATTTGCTTGACCCTTAACATGGTTATCGTTTGTTTTAACTCATCGTCTTACAGGATTTTGGGACTGTATGATCTGAGCTAAAGTTACGGACATTCGCTATCGTTGTTTACTCTTATCGTTTCACAAGGAATTCGATTGCTCTCAAAGTAGGGGCGCATCTACTTCAAAAAAATGCTCTCGGGTTTGTTTGATCATCCCTCCTGCGGCTTCCTGGCAGCAAAGAGCTTGCAATAAACGCCGCCCAAGCCCCACATAACAAAGAGCCCTCTGCCGGGCCCCAAGACCACCTCATGAGCCCAGAATGCGCACAACGCTGTGACGGGAGCACGGGGAAGGGGGGGGGGGAGGGGGGTAGGGTTTAGGGTTTTGGGTGGGGGGAGGGGGCACGGCAGCACACGCATCCACTGATCCAGTGTTCCTAGACGGAAGCAACATGAGCAGGAGTATCATTGTCATAGTAAAGAATGGGCCTAAAAATAGCATAGAGATTCCCAGTGATGCCACACTTTAATTGGAGTGTACTCTGCATGTCTGAGTTCTTGTTACGGACCTACATTTACCTTACCGTAATAAGGAAACCCTACTATTTACTATAGATCCCGATTTTGGTAATTGACTTCAAGTAGTTCGTTGACAAGAACCCAGTTTTCGCTACCCGAGACCCGTCGGCACCTTCCAAGTGCCCTCCTCGGGCACACGTCCCTCCAGCAACTCGACGACCTCCGCCGGCAAGGCCAATAAACCCTAAGCCCTGCAACCCTAAACCCCTCTTTTGGGCATTTGAGTTTAGGGTATGACGCTTGAAGTGTTTACCTAGACCCTCCATCGACCCGCTATTAGAGCCTATATACCCAATGTTTGGGACCATTAACCCCCTGTTTGAGGGTGCAAGGAGGGTCCTGGTCGGGTCTACTGAAAACCGTAAACCCCCAAACCCTACCCACAGGCTCCATAGTAGTTCCTTCTTGGCCTTACCTTATAGGAACCCTAAATATAAACCCACGGAAAAAAAAGGAACTGGACTGGAGCCTGTGGGTGTAAGCCCTACACTCCTCAATGCTACGAGCTGCCACCCTAAACCCTAAACCTTAAACCCTAAACTTCGGGGTTTGAAGGTCTCGACTCTGGCAACTTCTGCGGACCGGGGCAGGCTTCAGGCCATACGAGTCTCGGGCTTTCTTAGGGATTATATAAGAAAAAGTTAGGGTTCAGGGGTTTTTCCCTTAGGGTTTAGGGCTTAAGGCTATAATATAGGGTTCTTAAGGGTTAGAATAGGGTTTTGGGGTCCACTATATTATAATTGTAACAAGCAACCCCCAAAATAGTATAGGTATTTATTTAGGCCCCTGTATTAAGGCTGTTAGGGCTTGGGGCTGGAATCTGCTGGGTTCGGACTCAAGAGCTTGTAAGAGACGAGGGACAGGTGAGGAATCCAGAAACCCCTACTATGCTGGAGGGTTTTGGTGTGGCTATATATGACTATGATGGTACCACCATATAAGGACTCTATGTTCAAAACTCAATACCAACGCCCTCCTCCAGAAGGGTTGGCATGCAGGCTTTGGGTTTGCGGTATAAGTCCGACCTCCGAAACCCAAATTGGAATACCAAACCTGGCCCCCCAATCAGCAGTAGAAGTCGGGTACAGCCACCCATGGCCGCTGACGGACTCCGAAATGTCTTACGACGGACTCCAGACGTCCCCTTGGCTCTGCACCAACCAGCTATTGCTCGACAAAGACGATCTAAACTCCCCACCCTACCGCTCCAAGCCTTGGTGATGTTGGGATGAAGTAGACCTTGATTCGCCAGGAGATTAAGAAACGATGCACCAACTGAAGGGTCTTTTGTTCTACTGCCTTCTGCTTACTCGCTTCTGTCAATTGCGGGCCTAAGAACGACGGAAACGAATCTCATGTCATGGCCACCGAGGCCCACCATGGACAGGTTTCCTACAATGGTGTCGTTTAGCATGGGGGGGGGCGGCCTAGAAACATTCAGCGGCATGCGGGCAAAGCTTGGCTTCTGTTGTGTAGGCAATTCTTAGCGGCTTAGCGGTATCTTCTGTCAACAATATCCTCGTTAACCCGACCCACTCCCTGAACCCCCAAACCCTAAACCGCCCAAGTCTCACCCCACAGTGCGAGCCAGAAGCGTTTCATTCGCTCGAACTCGTGCTTGAGTTCTGCGCAAGCCGCAGCATTCCTCACAGTTCAGGTAGCGTAAAGCCGGTCCACCAAACGTAAAAGCCGGTGCTTTGGACATGCTGCACGTGTTGAGGTTAGGGCTTCTTAGGATATGTGGGCGCTACTTACCAGCCCACTACGGACTTGTTCATGGCACTGTATGGGCTGAGGCTGAGGTAGGGGTCCTTGTGATCTGTGGAGCCTTACTATGGGTCTTCTGGTGATTGTCCGGGTCGCACGGATGTGTATCTGAGTGCAGGTTGCCGGGAGCTCATTATTCATTTAAGGGCCCCCAAAAAGCACATAAGCAACAATTAGGACAGGGATATCCCAAATTGATCCCCTTGGAATGAACGTGGGAACATCCTTTCAAATGCTTACCTTATGTCCATACAGGGCCTGAATCTTAAGGTTTCTAGGGATACTCCAACTCTGTGGTCGGATGCCCATTCTCAAAGGCTCAGTACCGCACCCAAATGAAGTACTAGGCGCTACCATGCAGTTTCTAGTGACACCCAGTTTCCAGAGTTCAGCATCCAGGCGAAACTTACACTTCTGGGCTCTATGGCTCGATGCGGTCGAGCTTTCGGCTGTTGATTCTCTACCCCAACCACCCCTGAGCCTAATCTTACATTGGTCCTCATATACGCCCTTTGAAGGAAAAGGGGGGCTTAAGAGTTGGACGTCGAGGCTCTTGTCGTGCGTTTCCTTGACCACGTAGACTTGTGATCCGGAAAATGATCCAGATTTCTCGTTCTCACGCTCCTTGTCCCTTGCAGGCTTTTGGAGTGCTGGGTGATTGTTTTTCTCCAACGATATGGGGCTCTTGCGTTGGGAGATGTTATAACTGCACTGACTCGGTCAGTGTTCGTGCGAGGCACACCCGCGGTGCACGCTACGTATCCGTAAAATCCTGAACCCCAAACTTGCGAGGCAGTCCCACACTCTAGAAGCCCAGCTCCCCACCGACGTAACCTCAAACACTGGGCCAAGCATTGAGGGGTTTAAGGGTCCGGGTTTTGGGACACGAAAAAATGGACCAAATGGACCGAGTTTGTAAGCAGCTACAAGAAACATCTGTACTCAGTACTGGATACAAGCCTCCATGAAGCGTGATATATACGGCAGCTCATATAGCAGTCCCAAAGCCCATCACCGCAAACCTTGACAATTCATCGAAAGGATCCGCAAAAGGGCACAACAAGGTGTCCCTGTATGAAGCATGTGTGAAGAGACTGCTCTTCTAGGCATCCATTAGGTTGATCCTCAAGAGGGCCCTACCCCTAAACCCTCTGAACCCTATGAGCCCCAAACTCGAAACCCTATAAACCCTAAGCCCGACAGATGCCGCCGGCCTCACTTTCACGAGAAAGGTCTTCCCCTGCGTGCCGGTCCCAATCCTGACCCATTTAGAGATTAGGGTTTAGGGACAAGGTCGGAGAGTCCTGGGAAGGACAACCGATTGTTCGATGCGTTGCACTCTATTTTTGTTGGGGCGATAAGGGAGAACATACAGTGAGCATAAAATCTCTGGGTAAATACATTGGGGCCACGTTACAAGCTTTTATACAACTGCAGCCGCAACAACAATAAGCACAACGACCATCACAACCACAACCACAAACAAAACCACAACAAAAAAGCAACAGCAGCAGCTGAAACCAAGTGCTAGGACTTTGTTTGGAGCTCCTGAGCTTGGTCACTCTCCGAACCTACGGTCAGTCGAGTGTTGAAACTTCGAAGTGGGGGTCTCTCTTTTCGTCAGGTGCACCGCTAAGCCCGGAACCGCTCTGCTGAACAAAGATGCGGTTCGTGAGGCGCAGTGCAGGCGAAGCGCTGCTTCAGTATCTCATACTTGTCTTGGAGGGTCGATGTGCCATGGAGGACGTTGACCTGGAGCAGTGTTAGCTGAGACCGCCTCCCACCCCTAAAACCTATAGACCCTAAACCCATCATAGGTCACAGGGTCGGCTCCATGCTCCAGGCTAAAGAGCAGACTCAAACATAATGCCTTGAGGGGTAGTAGCCGTGAGATGGGGATCGCCTGGAGAGAAGCTTTTTGAATCATTTGGGTATTGCGACACAGTCAGGAACCTGGCTGGGGAGTTGGGTTAGGAGTTTAGGAATCAGGCCAGGTTCCGCGTCTTGGCCAAAGGGTTCCCAGTATCTGTATGTTGAGATGCTTTCCCAAACCATAATGAATAGCAGTTCCTTGCATGGAAACCCTGCTTTCTCTAAATTAACTTCTGAAAAACCCTAAACTCCTTAAACCCTAAACCCTACAGTAGCTCCTGAACTCTACACTCTGGGCGTGTCGAACAAGTGCCTCGACCAGCTTCGAGTGATCGAAGGTGTACCTTAGGATGTCGCCAGGCGCGCTTAAGGTTTTGGGATGTGTATGTATATATATATATACACATACATACATAAATAAGTAGCTAAATTAAAAGTATATGTCTATATGTATATATATATATACATATATGTATATATAGACATATGTATGTCTATGTATATAACATGTGCCAATATGTGTCCTGTAGTTGAGAAGAAAATATGCATAGATGGTCTCTCAGTCTATCGGAGTTGGCATGAGGTTTCACTACTTTGTTTCTGCTCCTAAATTTGGTGAGCCTGCTCGCACCAATGCTGTCGTTGTTGTGCTGGAGAGATGGTGGTGTGGTCAGGCCTGTGCCGTTGCAACCACAGCTGTGGTCGCACAGGTCGCGCCCCTTCCGAAGCAAGGGAAACGTGGAAGGCGATGGTAATGCTCACGGTCTAAGAAACAGCTCATTCAGAAAGACACAAGACCCAATAGCTTTGGCAAACCTATCAATCAAATCTCCCTCTCTCTCTCTCTCTCTTTATATGTGTGTGTGTGTATATGCATACATAAACATACATACACCCATACGTACGAAAAGTATGTATATATATATATATACATATATATATAGCCTA